TTTTTGAGTTGGAGTCTCACTCCGTCGTCCAGACTAGAGTGCAGTGGCTGCTCCCGGGCCACAGTAGCCTCAACTGCTGGGCTCCGGTGATCTTTCCATCTCAGCCTTCCGAGTAGCTGGAACTACAGGTGCGCACTACCATGCCCGGCTAATTTTTGATTTATTGTAAAGATGAGGTCTTGCCAAGTTGCCCAGGTGGGTCTCGAACCCGCGGACTCAGGCAATCCACTCACCTCAGCCTCCCAAAGCATGGGATTATAGGCTGAGCCACCAAGCCCAACTAGAAAAATATTTTTTTAAACATGTGTTATCCTTATTTTTTTCTGGAACTTGTCTAAGTTCCAGTTTCTGAATTGTGAGGTTTTAAATAAAACTGTCTTGATTTAATAAACACAATTATATTTATGATTTGATTATATTTACCTGTTTTTCCCCATTTTGGACGAGCCATTTGCAAAATTCTTCAACAGTGCTCAGTGTTTCAAAATCCTCTGAGCCCAATGTCGCTTGATATGCACTGATACTTTTTATGAAATACATCTCAACAGCATCTGAAAAAAATGGAAACAATTATTTAAGGCAACCTGCTAATCTTTACAAGTATCTAATATCAATTTTGGCTCAATTGACATTTTAGTACTACAATTTGCATGTGTTCTCATTCCAAGTCTCATCTGGACTCTTGAAAAGTCCAAGATATGATTTTATGACATCCAATGATGTTTTGATTTTTATTCTCCTTATGAAATGCATGGGATTATTTGTAGAAAATAAAGCCACTGTTTGAGTAGTCTTATTAGTCTAAGATCCAAAATAACTACCATATTAAACTCCCAGGCTCACTGCAAGACAATATTTTTAACTAAGTTAAACTCTCGTAGTAAGTACTGTTTACTGAGGTTCCTGTTTCTTGGGGGTGGGTGGGAGAGTGAGTTATGATTTTTAAAGTACTTTAAATATACAGTTGTTATTGTTTGAACATTTTTGTCTCTTACTCCAAACATAATACATGTTTATATAATCAATCTAGAAAATGCATAGAAACAATGAGAACATTTTGCTTTTTTGTACCATACTTTTTGTATGAATTTATGAGGCACAGGTGCATTTTGTTACATGCATAAATTGCGTGGTCAAGTCCAGGCTTTTAGGGTATCCATCACCTGAATAACATACATTGTAACCCTTAAATAATTTCTCCTCATCCACCCCCTTACAGTCTCTTATTCTTCTGAGTCTCCATTATCTATCATTCTACTCTATATCCATGAGTACACATTTTTAGCACCCATTTAAGAATGAGAACATTTGATATTTGATTTTATGTCTAGCTTGTTTCACTTAAGGTAAGTTCCATTCATGTTGCTGCAATATACATGACTTCATTTTTTTTTTATGGCTAAATAGTATTATATTGTATATATATACCACATTTTTCTTTATCCAGTAATCCACTGATGGACACTTAGGTTGAGTCCATATCTTCGCTATTGTGAATAGTGATGTGATAAACATACAAGTGCAGGTATCATTTTGATTTCTTTTCAATTGGGTAGATACTCAGTAGTAGGATTACTACATCAAATGGTAGTTCTATTTTTAATTATTTGAGAAATCTCCATACTATTTTCCATAGAGGTTGTACTAATGTACATTCTCACCAACAGTGCATAAGAATTCCATTTTCTCCACATCCTTGCCAACATCTGTTATTTTTTGTCTTTTTAATGATAGCCATTCTCCCTGGGGTACAATGATATCTTATTCACACTGTCTTGATTACTGTAGCTTAAAAGAAGTCTTGAAGTCAGGAAGAATCAGTCCTCCTCTGTTCTTTTCCTTTAATGTTGTGTTGGCTGTTCTGTTCTCTCTATAAAAACTTCAGAATCAGTCTGTTAATATACAAAAAACTTGCTGGGATTTTTATTGGAATTGAGTTGAATCTATAAATCAAGTTGTGAAGAACTGATATCTTGACCTTATTGAATCTTCTTATCCATGAATATGGAATATCTCTTAATTTATTCCGTTCTTTGATTTCTTTTCTTTCTTTCTTTCTTTTTTTTTTTTTTTTTTTGAGATAGGGTCTTGTCATGTTGCCCAAACAGGTTTCAAACTCCTGGGCTCAAGCAATCCTCCTACCTCAGCCTCCTGAGTAGTGGGACTATGACCACACACCATTTGGTTAGTTCTCTGATTTAGTTCTCATCAGAGTTTTGTAGTTTTTCTCACATATATCTTGTACATATTTTAAATTTATACCTAAGTATTTCATTTCTTAGAATGCTAATATAAATGGTCTTGTTTTTAATTTCAAAGTCTACTCATTTCAAATTCTACTTGGTATGACTATTAATTATTGATACAATTTTTAAACAGAATATTATTGAATTTTGTGTGTTAGCCTAGTATCCTGTATCTTTTCTATAATCACTTATTAGTTACAAGAGCTTTCTTTTTGTTCTTTCAAATTTTCTAATTAGAAAATCATGTCATCTGCAAACAAGAAGTTTTATTTTTTCCTTTCCCAAACAGTATAGCTTTTAGTTCCTTTTTTTCCTTAGTGCATTAGCTAGGCCTTCCAGTAGATGTTGAAAAGGAGTGGTAGCTGGGCTTGGTGACTCAGCCTGTAATCCCACACTTTGGGAGGCTGAGGTGAGTGGATTGCCTGAGCCTGCAGGTTTGAGACCCGCCTGGGTAACTTGGCGAGATCTCATCTCTACAATAAATCAAAAAATTAGCCGGGCGTTGTAGTGCACGCCTGTAGTTCTAGCTACTTGGAAGGCTGAGGTGGAAGGATCTCCGGAGCCCAGGAGGTTGAGGCTGCGGTGGCTGGGAGCATGCCACTGCACTCCAGTCTAGGTGACAGAGTGAGACTCCAACTCAAAAAAAAAAAAAAGGAGTGGTGAGAGAGGATAGCCTTGTCATGTTCCTGATCTTAATGGGAAAGTTTCTTATCATTAAGAATAATGGCCGGGCTCGGTAGCTCAGCCTGTAATCCCAGCACTTTGGGAGGCTGAGGTGAGAGGATTGCCTGAGCCCACAGGTTCGAGACCCACCTGGGCAACTTGGCGAGACCTCATCTCTACAATAAATAAAAAAATTAGCCGGGCGTGGTAGCGTGCACCTGTAGTTCCAGCTACTTGGAAAGCGGAGGCGGAAGGATCGCCGGAGCCCAGCAGGTCAAGGCTGCAGTGGCCAGGAGTGGCCACTACACTCCAGCTGGGCGACAGAGTGAGACTCCAACTCACAAAAAAAAAAAAGAATAATGGTGTTAGCAGTGGTTTTGGTGGGTGTTATTTATTAGGTTGAGAAAATCCCCCTACATTCCTAGTTTGCTGAGAATTCTTCTTTTATCATAAATAAATGCTGGGTTCTGTCCAATGCTCTTTCTGCTTCTGTTGTTATGAGCATATGGTTTTTCTTCTTTAGCTTATTGGTGTGATGCATTTAATTTTTCAAATGTTGGAATAGACTTGCATATCTTGGATAAATTCCACTAGGTGCTGGCATATCATTTTTTAAATACATTGATGAATTCAATTTGCTAGTGTTTTGTTGAGGATTTTTGCCTCTGTGTTCAATAGAGATAGTGATCTGTAATTTTCTTGTAATATCTTTGTCTGATTTTGGTACTAGGGTAATGTTGGCCTCATAAAATGAGTTAGAAGTAATTTTCTTGTAATATCTTTGTCTGATTTTGGTACTAAGGTAATGTTGGCCTCATAAAATGCTTCTAGGTTTAGAAGAGGTTGTAGAGAATTTGATATAATTTCTTCCTTAAATGTTTGGTAGAAGTCACCAGTGAACCTATCTGGGATGATTATTAATTATTGATACAATTTTTTAATAGACATGATCTTATTCAAATGGTCTATTTCTTCTTGTGTGAGTTTTGGCAGATGGTATCCTTCATGAAATTGACCTGTTTCATCTAGGTTATGAAATTTGTGGGTCTAGAGTTTTTCATGATATTCCTTTATCATTTTTTTAATGTCCATTCAATCTGTAATGATGTGCCATCTTTCATTTCTGATATTAGTAATTTGTATCCTTTCTTTTTTCCTTAGCCTGGCTTGAAGTTTACTAATTTTATTGATTTATTCAAAGAACCAGCTTTGTGGAGTTTTTTTTTCCTTGACTTCCTGTTTTCAATTTCACTGATTTTACTATAATTTTAATTATTTCTTTTCTGCACTCACTTTGCTTTGAAATTAATTTGCTCTTTTTTTAGGTTTTAATTTTTTAATTTTAAAGATGTGGAGTACAATACAGGATTAGGTATACAGATGTTTATTATGCAGGTACCCTTGTTGATGAGGTGTACCCCTCACTCCCCTGGCAGATTGCTCTTCTTTTTCTAATTACCAAAGGAGAAAGGTTAGATTATTGATTTTTAAATCTTTTCTGATATAGGTATTTAATGCTATAAATACCTCTATAAGCACTACTTTCTATGCATCCCACAAATTTTTACATTGCTTTTTCATTTTCAAAAAATATTTATTCAAAGTATTTTAAAATTTCTCTTGAGATTTCTTCTTTGACTCACATAGTGTGTTGTTTACTCTCCAAATATTCTGGGATTTTCTAGATATCTTTCTGTTACTGATTTCTAGTTTACTTCCATTGTGGTCTGAGAACACATCCTGTATGATTTCTATTCTTTTAAATTTTTAAAGATATGTTTTATGGCTCAGAATGTGGCCTATACTCCATGTGAGCATGAGAAGTGTATGTATACTGCTGTTGTTTGGATGGAGTAGTCAACAGACGTCAGTTATATCAAGTTGATTGATGGTGCTGTTGAGCTCAGTTATGTCCTTACTGATTTTCTGCCTGTGGATCTGTCCATTTCAGATCTAGAGGCACTGAAATCTCCAACTATAACAGTGAATTCATCCTTTTCTCCTTGCATTTCTATCAGTTTTTGCCTCACATATTTTGATACTATGTTGTTAGGCACATACACAATAAGAATTGTATATTTTCTTGGCAAACAGATCCCTTTATACTATGTAATACTCCTCTTTATACCTGATAACTTTCCTTGCTCTAAGTTTGCTCTGGCTGAAACTAAAATAGCTACTCTTGTATTTTTTTTTATAAGTGTAAGCATGGTATATTGTTCTCCATCTATTTACTTCAAATTTACATGTGTCTTTATATCTAAACTGAGTTCATATAGGTAACATATATTTGGACCTTGTTTTTGGATTCACTCCGAAAATCTGTCTTTAAATTCATTTATTTAGACCATTGATGTTTAAAATGATTATTAATATAGTGGGATGAATATCTTCTATATTATTACTGTTTTCTATTTGTTGCCCTTGTTCTTTGTTCCTATTTTTGTCTTCTCTTTTCTTTTGTGTTTTTTTTTTTTTTACTTTTTAAAAATTAATTAATTAATTAATTTTTTAATTATTGAGACGTGGTTTTGCTCTGTCTCTCAGGCTGGAATGCAATGGTGTCATCATAACTTACTGCATCCTTGAATTCCTGGGCTCAAGCAATCCTCCTGCCTCAGCCTCCTGAGTATCTAGAATTA